GTCAACCAGCACCCTGGTGAGCACAGTCAACCAGCACCCAAGTGAGCCCGGTCAAGCAGCTGCGATCCTAACTACAGCTCAGATTCCTCGGATGGAAACAGCCACACAAAGACTTTAACACGGCAAAGAAAGAGGGAGCTTCTAGAAAACAGTCTGTGACAAATACGTTCACTTCCTCCCAACCCACACGGGGTCCTAACACTGGTGGCTCCCGAGCCTTACTTGGGATTGGCGGGATTCATCTAGCTTTAAATCTAGGTGGTGCAGGGGGATCTATGTGGACCAGTGGGACGATGCCCCAGGGCGAGCACCTCAGTCCTGTCCTGTGAGCTACTCACACCCTGCTTAAATCCTTAACCAGCAGGACGCACCTGCAATCCCTTGCAATCCGTGACTCAGAGGCTGAGGCAGGAGGATCGCCTGTTCGAGGCCAGCCTCAGCAAGTTGGCGAGACCCTGTCTCAAATTATTAAGAAGGGCTGAAGCTGGATCTGAGTGGTAAGCAGTCCTGGGACTCCATCCCCAGTATCCAAACAGGAAAACACAACAAAACATGAAGCCTGCAATCAGGTCGCTCACCCAGCTCCTCCCCAGGTGTAAACTCCCCCTTCCAAACTAACACGAGGAGCCCCTCACCAGTGTGTTCAGGAGCTGGGTGGGGCTCTCAGGACGGTAGCCCCCGCTGGGCAGAGCTGAGTCCAGCTCCTTCTCTCACCCACCACTCAGGACCTGGGCACCAGCGTGCGCCCCGCTGCTGCAGGAGGAGGGAGGCGGTGGGAGCACTGACAGGTCCCTGTGGTGGGAGAGACAGAAGAGGGTGCCCGGACGGCAGGTGTGGAGAGGGGTCACTTACCTACGAGTTTGTTCATCGCAGTACTGGGGACTGAGCCCGGGGCGCTTAGCCACGGGGCCACAGCCTCAGGCCTTTTAATTTTTCATTTAGAGGCCGGGGGACACCAAAGCACTTAGGGCCTCGAGAAGTTGCTAAGGCTGGCCTCGAACTTGAGATCCGCTTGCCTCAGCCTCCCAGGTGGCTGGGATTCCCTGGCTAGTCCTGTGATTTCGGATTTTATAAAGTGAACAGAATTCCAAATATAGATGCAAAAGACCACAAAAAGGGGCCAACAACAGCATGTGAATAAGACAACCCAGTCACAGCGAGGCCAAGGAACAGGGTCCTCAGCTAGTAACAGCTGTAACTGAGAAGTGGATGCTAACTGCCCTCTTCCTTGTGCTGGGGACCCCCAGGACTTCAGCCAGGCAAGCGCTCTCCTGCCGCAGACCGGCTGCTTCTTTAACGTCTCCGTCACTTCTTTCATCCCACACTGTCACGCTAGGCCCTGTCCAGGTACTTAGGACACAAGGGTGGACAAGAAAACCCCTGCTCATCGAGCTCCCAGGCCAGGGTGGGTGGGAGAACAAGCCGGCAGGGACCCCCGAGCTGCCAGGTGCTGGGAGCAGGGCTTGCTCAGCAACAGGGCATGCGCTGAGCCCGTGCACAGCCCTGGTATGACCCAGTACCAAAGCCAAGAGGAGAGAGGAGAGCAGAGGAAGGTCCTGAGAAGGGAGTAGAAATAGAGAAGGTGACATTCCT